ACTTACATAAATCGTACGATTATAGCGAATATTATTATTTTGGTAGAACAATTAAATGTACTCGCTACCCTTCGGGGTTTTATGGAGTAACTTATTTATGTGCGACAGATATTCACTTCCCATAAATCAATATATCCGTAGAATAATATATATATTCAAATACCAGCAAATGAAAAAAAGTACAAAAAATAAATAACGTCTTTGTACCATCCGTATAGTTTTATATAAATCAAGCTGTGTGTTATTAAAAAAAAAGTTTTAAGCGGTACTTGAGTAAGTCGGCAAACTTTTTGGTCGTAATATCTCTGAAGTCCCCGTGTTTTATTTCCGATGATTTAAATGCAAATACAATTTTATTGGTGTGCGCTGTGTTACAAACAAAAGAATTTTGCCTTATGTAAGCTGATGTCTGCAATAGTACCGTGTAAAGGAGTTTTATTGCAGACAATATCAATATGAAGAACATCAACTAAACGATTCGTCGTCTCACATTTCTATATAGACTTCCGAGTTTTGACAAAATTAAATTTCCGGCCACGACTTGGCGACTTCACACTTTTAGTGGGTCAATTAAAAGTTTCTATTCTTTTCTATAAAGCGTTAAACCACATGGGTCTGTACATATCTAGATTAAGACTCTGTTTTATATTGTAGAGGTGTTGTGTATTATTATTTATTTTTCTATTGAAAACTGGAAAGCTACTGAAATATATCGAGCTTACGATAGGTTCAATTTAAAATGGTGTATACGATTAAATCTCCAGAAAAAACGTTGTTGAATACAATGTTAAAGTGGTTATAAAAATTAAATTATTATTTTCTTTTAACGGGGGAAATATTATGATGGCGTCAGTTTTATTCGTCACAAATCATCAAAATATGATGAAATAATGGTGTTTGATATTATGCTAAACAACTAATGTTCAATAACATTTTTTATAAATAATATCGTTAACAACTAAAAACATAAACTAGACAATTTTGTTATATATTTCAATAAAGAACTAAATTTATTTAATTTTTAGCTATTGATGTGTTTCAATAAAAGGCTTAAAGTGTATTTATTTATTAAGTTGATATATTTACTGAAAAGCAATGAAAATATTTTTTCTTTAAAATGTTAGTTTCTTAATTTTGTTATTATTTTCTTGGACATGCTTTCATGTTTCTTTAATTAAATTCTGAACATTGTTTTCAATTTCCTTTGTTTACAGATGCATTTAAGCGCACCTCTTAAACAAACCATACACCGGTTTGAATTTCTAAAAAAGAAAAGGATCGTGTTGAGTAATAATTATTCTATAGACTTATTTCTGCATTCTCTTGATTTACATAATTTTTAATTTAAACATAATATATTCTTATAACTAGAGGTCGGAATAATATTCTTTTAAAATAGTCAAAATAAGATGCTAATATTCTCCTAAAAAATTGAAAATATTCTTCTAATATTCTTTAAAAATTTTCGTTAAATATTCAAAATATATGCATATACAAGATAATATTCTCCGAAATTGAAAATATTCTTTTATTACAAAAAAATCTTAACCTAACATTTAATCTGATATTTCAAAATTAATTAATGTGGTACAATTCTACCTATTAACTGAAATACTTTTTTCTTATATTCAAATAAACAATACATTACATTATATAATTTAACTTAAAAAAATCTGACTTAAAATGTTATCAGCTTGATAAAATTATAATAATGACATAATTTTAATTAAGAGAATTCTCCTCTTTGGAAACAATTAACAACTATGTTCATTTCCATATTTTCTGGTGTCATTTTTGTACGGCGATCTGACAAAATATTTTTGTACGTACTGAACGAACGTTCAACGTCTACTGAAGTCACAGGAGCATACTGAAAATCAGTAACCACAGTAGGTGGAAAATTACCTACAAGTTGTACATCATTATTTCCCTCCAAGACTTTTGATATGTTTTTTAAAATTGAGAGTCCCTGATTTTTTTGTTGAAGTTGATCCATTTTAATTTTAATTTTTTCTCCATTTTCTCCAGGTATTTGTTGAAGTTTAACAATTGTATTTTCAATGAGATTTATCGAATCAACAAGAGACACATTTGATTTTTCTAGATTTTTTATGCATGTTATAAGCATAAGAAAATGGGTCTTAATAAATATAAGGTCATTTTCTACAGATTTTAAGTCAAGAACTGTTTTACATTTAAGTATAGACTGACTAGGAGACTTCTGCTTTATCAATTCTTCTATAACTTTTTTTAAACTTTGGAAGTTATCACAATTAAATATAGCAGCTTCCAACCAAGTTCCCCATCTTGTCAAAACTGGTTCTAAGGGTAATGGAATGTCAGGTAATATTTCTTTATACACTTGAACATTATACGGAGCTTTTAAAAATACTTTTTTTATGTTGTTAATTAATTTATTAACGTCTGGATACATTTCTCTTACCTTCTCTGCGATCCTATTAAACATGTGAGCTACACATGTTACGTGGATTAAATTAGGGTAAAATATTTTTAATGACTGACCAGTTTTTACCATATATGGTGCAGCATCCGAGAGCATCAACAAAACTTTTTCATCATTTCCACCTGAGGGCCACAGTAATTTTAATCCATCATTCACAAATCGAGCCACTGTTGAATGGTTAGTTTTTTCCAAAACTTTACATGTCAAGAGAAAAGAACGAGTTGGGTGATTTGACTTTAATATTCCAACCAATAAATTGGCCACATAACGACCGTTTATATCTGTTGTCTCATCAACCGCGATCCAAATGTTATTTTCACCAATATCATTTTTTATTTTAGTTAAAGTTTTATCATAACAAAGGGAAAGATAATTTTTTCGTAATAAACTTTCATCAGGTATATGTTTGCCAGTATATTTTTCTAAAAAAGCTCGAAATTGTGGATTTTGTAGCTTATACCACGGTATATTAGCAGCAATTAAACTCAAACATAGGTCTTCATAGAATTCATTTACATTTTTTTTAGATGTAGATTCTGATAAAAACAATTGTTTTGGATTATTAGACTTACGCTTTAAAGCTTCTTGGTGTGATGATGTGTTCACATGTTGGATTATTTGAGACTTTTTAATGCATGGTATGTGTTTGTCACACAGTTGACAAAAAAGAGTCGTCCCATCAATTTTAAAGTTTACATTATCTTTATTTAGTGGTAGTATCCACTGAGCAATTAAATTTTTTAATTTGCTTGGTGGGGTTTTCGGCATTTTGGAAAATAAGTAATTAAAAACAAACAACTAAAAGAAATGAAACTACACTCGGTATGATAATACTACGTATACACGACGAGCGACAAAGAACGATAGACAGATTGAATGTCAACTAATTCAACCACACACTTACATCATTTATGTTGTACAATAATCTTTGTACCTACCTCTTCTAGGAACACGATAATAATGATTATCATTTATAATGATAAACGAATATTTAGAGTTATTTTTATAATGTTTTTCTAATTCATTTCTACTTTACATGACTTGTAAAGCATTTTAATCATAAGTCTACACATAGTTTTCTAAAAAATAACAGACTAAATTTATTTAGTATAATATTATGTATAATTTTGGTCAAAGCAACAAAAAAAATCCAAATTCCATAAAATTAATCGAAATATTCTCAAATATTCTTTTTTAAGCAAAATATTCTTTTAACTTAAAATATTCTCAAATATGCAAAAAAAACTTTTGCTATTGATATTTTTTTTTCCCGATTTGTAAAGATTTCGAACCCCCGCATGTCTACATACGCTCAAAAAAAATATGTTAAATAATATAATTCCGACCTCTACTTATAACCATACAAAAAAAATTTTTTTTAAATGTTAGAAATGGTCATGTACTAATAGTTAAATGATAGTTACAATGGATTCTGATATTTACAGATAAAAATTTATATTCGCCAAAATTATATTTCTTTGGGAAATCTTTAAACTTTTTTTGTTTTATTACAAAAAACGTTCTGCACAAAGACTTAAATAGTATAGAAACTTAGTTCGATTAACGGGAGTTGAAAAGTAAAAAATATATTATATAACACACTAGAAAACATGTTTTACGGAGTAACATGTAACTTTGTATACCACATGAATGGTTGTAAAAGTATTACTTTCCAGTTTAGTTAGAAGGTTAATGTAGTGTTATTTTTTCTAAAAAAAACTTCACAATAACAAAACTTAATTTAAATTTAGTACACTAATTATTTGTGAAATCCAATAGTGCTTAAAGAAGAACACAAGCTCAATTTTGAATTAATGATTTATTGAATTTTATTTATACCAGTGTACTTGTACTGAATTTTGAATTATAGTTGAAGTTTTTCAATGAATCAATAATAAATTTAGTGAAATATATTCTATTTTTCATATCATTTTATGTACATCAAAAAAATCCTATTGTAGTTTATGTTATTTCATGGTTTACTTATAAGTAAAAAGCCTACAACCTTTTGACACCTTAAAATATTTAAAGTTTTATTTATTCTTTGGCGAAACAACGTCGAATAATGTTACCGATGAAATTATGTTCCGATTTCCACTTTTATACATGTCCATTTCATGTATTCCCAGAAAAAGATAATCGAGACTGATACACTAAAGTAGTTTCATAGTTCATGAACAGATTTGACACTAACTTGATTTGTACTGAACAACGTGGAACTCGATCAAATCACATTATTAGTTGATAAACGAACAAAAAGAAAAACAGACGGTTAGAATGGTTGTATGTGCTCAGTGTAGTAGCTATAACTTGGTATTTATAGGAAAATATTTTCCCATTTGTGATACTTTAGTTCACATTGATACAAAGATTTCTTGTAATGAATGTATTGTGATACTGTCAACATAAATTTCATTTTGTTTTCATCTTATAAATAAAAATATAAAAATACATTTTGTTGTTCCACAATAGCTTTTTTGTATTTTCAAATTATTAAAAAGTAAATATTATAGTAATGTACTCTTATTTTTTTCAGCAATCGTCATATGGAGGTTCTCCGTCACCTGATTTAATGTTAAAAGAAGGAAATATACGAAGGGTAAGTGTTCCATAGTAAATTAAATCAATTAAAAATCGTATATAATCATTTCCTTTTGAGTAATCTGTTTTTATTAAAAATAACTTGGTACTTATAGTAAATAATCATTATACACTATGGTGTTGTGTCGACAATATGCCGTTTATAAAGAATAGAAGTTATATATAGTCTATTTCTATATGCGTGCCGGAGAAATCGGTTTTAAAAAAAGTATGTCGTTTTGTAGTGGATTTTTTTATAATTTGGAACTCATAAAATGAACTTCCGCTGGAGCACGGTAGTAATGTGCCGTCGCTATTTGTGGAGATAATTGGGCCATAAAAACAAAATATTATAAATTATCGAGTTTTAAGGATAAACGCCTCAGGAAAACGTAGACCTGGGCATTTTATTAACCTCCAGGGACTACGGCTAAAAATTGCTTTGTAAAACGTTCAGTCATTATTTTCCTATTTTACAATTGGTGTATGAGTATTATTTCGGTTCAGAAGAAAACTGAATAACGATTTTAATGTTTAGTTTTATCTTACCAATGGTATCATTTCCCTCTTTGCCACTTCCTCTTTTCAATTCGTTACTACCACCAATTGACTATGTTCCTTTAAAGGCTTTCTCTGTTCTTTCCATAAAACTCTTTTAAGTACTTGGCAATGTGAATGGACTGCCTTACCTTTAAACTACACCAAGTGGTACAGAAAAATTTGTCCCATTGTACACCCCTTGGTACCTAGTTCTACAACTTAAATCTCAATAGAAATTTTATCGTCTTAGATTTGGTCACAATCTTTTGCCAGCTTTTGCTTTTTGTTATTTCTTAATTCTTCTCCTTATTGTATTTTTTACAACAAAGAACATTTAGGCAACTTTTCTCATTATCTATTAAATCGTTCTTTACTATCTAAAAATAGAATTTTATTAGTCAGTATTTTAGTTCTTCATAAAATTCATAATCTCTTATCCGATATAATTTGAAAGTCTCAATTTAGTGTAGTTATTAATCATATTATATCTTTAATCCAGATGCAAATATTATTATTTTAATAAATTTAACGATCCACTAAATATAAATTATTAACATTTGGTATTTATAATAGTCGAGGTGTAATATTTGTAAAAATAAAAACTTAATTAATAAATAAAAATGTTGCTTTTTCTTAACTATAAAGTATGAGTAATGTTAATCATTAATAATAACGTTAATCCATATAAATGTATGTTCGATAATCTTAAAGGAGGAAAAAAGTTTAAGAAGTGGTTGTTCACTGACCCGTACTTTTATGCTGCAGGTCTTTGACGAGGGTATGTCTCATTATGGAATTTTCGCTAAAATAAAAGTTGAAGGTTTGTTAAAGTCAAATAAGATAGGTTTTTAAGTCTTTTTTTTAAACTTTTTATGGATTAATTTATCTGAAAACAATACGCGTCATACTTATACGCATACAAAATGCACAATATTTCGATAAAAGCTTATTGTATGTATATAAAATTGAATGTATATAAAACATACATTATCTCGGCATGTTACATTTGAGGATCATTTTCTTGTGTTGAATGAGCAGTAGTTGTGTATTTATTGTAAATATGTATTCAGAATTTTCATAAAACTTTTATCCAAAAAAGTTCCTGGAAATGATTTAAAAAAAAAATAACGTAGTAGTACTTATTTTATCAGAAGACATCATTTTTAGTTATGAAACATCTTTCGTTGGCTTTTGTAATCGTGTATTTGATATGATTCAAGTGTTTGTTTTTCTCAATAAAATTGTTCTTCGTATTTCTGTTTATAAATTGATAAAGTGATAAGATTTTATTAAAATCTTTAAACGATAAACACGACTTATTGTTGTTATATATTTTAGTTATTCCTGACAGTACATAAATTAATCAGGATGTAATGATTGTGTAGAAAGTTCAGTGGGAGTATAAAAAACACAATCAGACGAAAATTTGCATACATTTTCTGAGAGTAATTTAAGTAAGTTGATAATAATATCTTGATTAGACTTTAGTGGACTCAATTTACTTTATTGCACCGGTGTGAGATCGTAGCATCATATATTTTGATCCCTTAACTCTCGTTTGTTCTTAATTTTCAAAGAAAAACCTTTTTTTTTTTATGCTAATTCTTGTAGATACATATAATAGAGTTATACTTGTATATTTTTCGTTCTTCATTAGTGTTAGAGTGATAAATTAGGTTACCGTACTTTAAGTTTGCTCATCTTTTTACATGCAATTTTTAGATATTAAAATAGTATTTTTTTTTAAATACCCTAGAATACTTGAGTGTTATTAAATACATGATAATGTTGTCAGTAATAAGATTCTATAGTAGTTGTATAAAATTGTATTAACATAATTGTATAAAGATTAATTACATAACATGCCTTTAAATGTATATTATGTAATATACTATCGAGAGTCTAGAATTAAAGGAACGTATCATCCAAAATTAGGAAACTTCGATTATTAGTCTATTTCAACCAATAAATAACACTTTTTTAACGTGAAAATAATGTACCATAAATTATGTTGGAAGACATATTTTTTTATTAGCTTAAATGACAAATGAAAATTTAATTTTACACTCCTGAAAAGTATGAAATTGGTTGTTACAATTCTTTAATTCTAGACTGTCGTTGTATAGAATTTTTAGTAAGTTAGGAAAAAGATTTTTCAGTGTTCTTATTGATTGTTAAAATTGATCTGTTTCCTTACTTATTGATCCTTTGTATGATAGCGCATTTGACAACGCTGAAAGCATCTAATAACAAAATGCATAATCTTTCTCTGATTTATACAGATTCTTGAAAATCTTAAATAATTATTAACTTGCAGTAAAACAAATTGTAAAATGAGTATAGTAATGATAACGTATAGGTGAAATTATTTTGGCTACTTCTATACCTATAATCTGTAGAGATCGACACTTTTTCTATTTTATAAAACGGAATATGTGCCAATTTACTTTAAGTGTATCATCGTCTGTCGTGTATATTTTTCTTCTGCATGTAAGTGACTTAAACACATTTTTGATGATAAATCACTCTTTTATTCGAAAAAAGAACCATGATCATTTTGGATACATACCGAAAAGAGCACATTCCAATCTATTAATGATTATTGCGACTCTACGAATTTCAGTTCGTGACATTTAAAAGTTTGTTGATGAAAAACAAAAGAATATGTATGAAATTCAAGGTAATTTTCTGAAGAATCCCTGTTTTTCTTGAAAAAATCACTTATTTGGTCAATGACATTATGCGTGCAGTATAAATATTGTTTTTGAAACTTGTGTCGAAAACTTAAGTAATCAACTTCATGTTTTCAGTTCACAATGAAGTTTCATTATTGTTACAACAATATTTCTGTCATCCGACATCATTACTTAAGCGTCCTTTCGATTTAAGAGTCTCTTTATTGAACGAGACTAATTTTCTAAAAGCCCCGAAACGATCAACCAACTAATTTTCATCAATTTACACGCCCTACATATTTTGTCCTCGAATCGTCCAACATCTCGTCTTGTTGTTGTGTCTATATATTTTCGGTAAATCATCTTGATAATATTCGATTATAGTTTCCGTTTAAACTCCTGTCGACAAATAACTATGTTATCGTATTGGGTATTCTCTGTGACGAACACCACTTATATATCAACAAAAATATAAAAAACACTACTTTGCTAATACTATCACCACCGTTATAACCTATTGAATTTTTAATTTAGAAAGTAGTTCTGCTTTGAATTAATGGTATGATCGTATCGTCATGATCGAATGACTTGTAGTACGTGACGATGTGACTTTTATTCTTTTGTATTTACTTGCAATTCTAGTAAAATAGCACCTATGTAAAAAAAGTCTTTGTTTTAGGGTGATATCAGTACCAAAATCAAAAAAGAAAAGAGACGTCATGTTGACGTTATGGAGGGTAGTGAAATAAAAAATTTACGACAATTATTTATTAACAAGCGAAAAGAGAAATAATAAAAAATTAAGACTTTTTTCCTTTTCGAAAAAAGTCATTTCTACTTTATGGTCTACTTTTCTAACATCGCCTGTGTCTAAATAACAAGTATTAATTGTCGAATACTAATAATGTAATTTTGTTGATTTCCATGTCCAATTTCAAGGAGTGGTCCATTTTAATTAAATTTAATATTTTGTTTTTTATTTTTTAATAATGATTATGTTTATTGAGCATGTCAGTAACATATATTATTAAAGAGTAATAACATTAACATTTTAATGTTATTATTTAACGGTACTAGTTTTTTGTACATAGTCGTTGATTATTTCTAATCGTTTTTAAAATTATCTAGTCTTAAAGACCATTATTTAATTTAAAAATATATAATTTATAATTTTGAGTAAATAATTCAGGAAGAGTCTGAAACACCAAAAAAATTCTACATTTTAATACGAAATAGAGTTCAATTTCCAAATGCACGCTTAAGTACTGCAATACACATTTAATTGTAATATATATTTAATTTTACTAAGAAGAATCATTCATTCTTAATTTAAATTGTCTTTTAAAGACAATTTATCTATTAAACTCTAAGAAAATATTCATCATAAAACCAACCCGATGACCACCTCTTTAGGTATTATATTGGATAATTATTAGATTTATTTTTTTCAACAATAATATATCGTTTTTGCAAAAAGGGTATAAGGGCGATTTAAAATAAATATATATATGTTCATTTAAATTATTCTCTAAAAATTTTTCATTGTTTGACAAATATATTTGAAAACATTTCCATAAAAAGTTCGCAAACATTACTGTATATTTTCAAATCCAAGAAGATTTTTTTTCCTCACTCTTCTTTAAAATTATTTACTGTATGACTAAATATTGACTAAGTTCGTTTTTATTTTATGTAGTTCAAAGTTATTAAAGACGTATTAAGTTTTGGCTTATTAATAGCTTGATTATTTTAATGACATTTTTAACAATATTTTGTATTTACTTCATTTAAAACGACGAGTTAT